TACTAAAAAAAGTATAAGGCTTTGACATTATTAATTTATATTCCTTGATCTTTTGGTAGAGAAGTTCCCTCAAGAAGCATGTATTGATGGGTTTTTTATTCTGTGTCTAAAATTTTAAAGTATTTTTGGTCAATATAATAGCACGAATATGTGGTTCAAATTGTAAAAAATATGAATTCCGATAATTTCTAATTTTAAAATTAATTATAAAAAAAATCTAAATTCTGTATTTTTAAAAATAATATCCTATAAAAAAATTTTATTAGAGGTCGAACCATAGCATCTTAGGCTTCTTAGTTTTAGGGATAACAAATAATCAATTTATTTGTGTTCAATTCTATTTAATTGATATTTCTATATTCCATTTGTAAAAATTACTCCCTATATTCCATATTAATTGAATTTGTGAGACAATGCACACTTATTTAGAAAAAGATTCAAGGCTATAATTTAGATATTACTTTTCACTATTGCTTTTTGTGAAATCATAAATATAACTTTGTAAATAGTGCAATTTATCTCCAAGAAAATATCAAACTTTATTAAAGAAAGGGGGAAATATGGAAAAAATTTCAAACATCACTCTTGAACTTTGAACAATTTAATTATTTTGAACAATAGAGAAAGCCTCAAAAATTCAGTTAATATGGAATATGGAATAGTTACTATAAGAATGATATGTTTTAATTGAAAGCTGATATAGTATCATCCTTTTTTTTCTGTAATATTTTTTAATTGTTAATTAAGAAAATAGCTCCATTTCATTATATTCACATACTCCTTTTTGGATCTATTAGGTTGCTAAAAAATAACCTTCTTATAATAAGAGATTTAGTACTAAAAAATTATTATTGTCAAATTTAGGCAATGAATTAACCTTATATATCAATTTATGTACATAAGTATTCTATTATAACATATCAAGGTGTTAAATATTAACATTCTCGCAAATAAACCTTATAATCTTATCTTAGAATAATTTCATTTTTGAAATTTTCAATATATCAATATTTACAATTATATTTATCAACTAACCGCGCAATGCACGGGTACGTATACTAGTATAAAATAACAATACAAGATTGCATTTTGCATAATATATGAGTAATCAAATAATTGAACAATTTATAATTATGAAATTTTGTGAATATTCATTTTTTATCAAATAATTATTTGATTTTATTTTATTAAATTTAATTGCTTTTTTATTTTAATTGTATATATTTATTGTGTTTATAAATAAACAAATAGTCTTGCAATCATTCAATTGTTGAAAAACAAAAAATTTAATCATTCAGTGTTAATATCTAAAAATAACATCATAATCATTCAAATGTACATTCACATTCAGACATATAAATCATAATAAACACAAATAAGTCCTTTAAGATAAGTTTCACATGATATCTCAACTTTTATTTACAAGCGTAAGTTCCGTTTGAACATTAGTTCTTCCTTACTCCTTAATAAGAACAAGTTCACACCACTAAAAAAAAACATACAAATAAATTATGTAGGTAAAAATATTTGTTGTTAATCCTATTTAGTAACAAATTAACAATGAATTTATTAAAAAAATTAGATTAACTAGTTACGAGCTATTTAGTAACAAATCATTAGCAATAAGTTTGTGACTAGCTAAATCCAAAGTCAATGATACCATGTCAAGTGTGAAGTTATTATATATGACACGTTGGAGTGACATGTTAAAATGATCATTTGAGGGTGATAGACCCCTCCCATTTTATTTTTTCTTTTCAAGCATGGATCTTAACTTATCGAACTGAGCAAACTTTAAAAAAGTTAATGTTGAAGAATAAAGTAAAGGGCAAAGAATACGTGTGAATGAAACATGAGAATTGAGACATGATCAAAGTTCAAAAAGGTTTTATCTCTAATAAATGCATAAACAATTATTTGCATATATGATTTGTAGAAGCATTTAGACTATTTGTGTCATTGTTAATTTAGCTGTCAAAGTAGAACAACAACGAGTTGCATGCCGCAGCCCTTCAAACTAGTCAAAGAGTAATCATCCTACACGTAATATTACAACAATCCAAAGGGCATTAATGTTCCAAGTTTTTTTTTTATGCGATATTCGAAATTTATTAATTTGATTGTTACTATTATATAAGGTTTACTAAAAGAGAAGTCTCCAACCCCGCACATTAGAGGTATTCTCAAGATACAACTATCAATGGAGTACAATACTAAAGAACAATATACTATAAAATGTTCTCATTCTTTTCATATAAAAAAATATTAAAGTGGAGTTTCAATCAGAAGATGAACAATTCAAAATTAAGTTATTTGTTAGTTCTAATGATTGATAGAATGAATTTATTGACGAACTATTGTCCTAGAGTTTTACTCGTACAAATTTCGATTCTAAAGAAAATTTCTGGAATTTGTGTGGTGTTTTCAATTACTTAACCGCACTTTAAGTTGTGATATTTTTATATGAATCGTCGGATGAATTTTCTGATTATTTTTTGTTAGTGTATATATAAATGATACACTATTATACATACTCATGTACATACATTATTCATCCATATGCTATCTTTAATTTAATTAGTTGGATGAAGTGCAATTATTTTAAATTTTTCTAACTAATATCAACTCTAAAAGTGGTGTAATTTTTACTGAAATAGTTGCTAAGTTGAATCTACTTTTCTGGGCCACAAGAACACGTAAGGACTAGAGTTAGCTTTACACACCTAGGTACGTTTTTAGGTAACATTTGAGAAAAATTCAGAAATAACTAACATTAGATCGAAGTTAGGCCTTCTTAAGTACACTTTCGTTAATTACAATTCATAGTTATAGTTATGACTGACTACCGGATGTATCAATTGTATTTTTTTGCAAAAATTAGTTGTGAATACAAATACAATGTATAATGATATACACAAAATGTGCGATAAAATCTTTTTAAAAAAGGTAATTGAGTATAAATAAATAAATAATACTCAATTAATATCTTAATCCTCCATAAATGAAATAAGATATTGAAATCTCAGTGCTACCGATAGTTTAGATTTCAATAGGACCTTGATTATTTGTTGATTTCAATTGATATAGATATCTTCTTTAATTGTTTATAATCGTCTTTGATATATGTATTTACCAATTTCAATAATATAGATACAACCATAAATTAAGGAAGAAAATCTCAGTCATAAATTGGGAGGGAAGTCGTTCAACGCCATAATTGAAATTTTTGATGTATTTGTATAAATTTGTAACGAAAATCTCCCACCATATTTTATAAGTATGAGTCTTTTATATTGATCCCTTGTTCCCTCAAATAAAAATAGTGAAAGAGTAATAAGAAAAAAAATATTAGATAATGTCTTCTATCTGTTCAAATATTAATAGACAGAAACCCACTATGCATTAGGACATGGTCCTTGGATTGTAGTGTAGTGATGGAGTTATTTCACCTTTAATCAGAGATAACAAGTTCGAGTCTTGGATATGGTAAAAATTTTGAGGGTCATCTTTGAATGGGCCCTGCATTACGCGATTCGAATTTAATCAAGGCTTGAAAAAAAAAAATAGGATATGATCCTTATCTAACCTTTTTTTCTTTTCATAAAATTTGTAATTTATTACATATGGTGCCATATGAATTTAATGCTACATCTATTGGAAGGCTCATTTCCTATCTTTGTCAGCAGGCTTACAACAATACATAGGAAATTTCTTATTATCCATTTACACCTTACTATAATTGGTACTACTAAAGAGACTATACCTTATGGTTTTCTATCCCCATTCCCATTTTCACCAAAGTCCAAAACTAGGAAAATATAAGAGGGAGAAAATGCTATAAAGAATCCTAGCAGACAAGTTACGTATTTGATCGATCGTTCAAAATAATTATATTTGCTATTCAATATACAATAATATATACTACATTATTTTGTATAAAAAATGTATAGTTTGTGTATAATATGCATTTACTGACTATTATTTTATTGAGCGACTATTTATATCAATTATCCTCTTTCGTTATTTTCCTCCTAAAAAGGAATAATAACATAAAATAAATTATTTCTAATTCAAGTCGCCACATAATACAAGTCCCTTGGCTTTTGATGGCAAACAAGTTGTACATTTTTATTTTTCATTATTGCTAAAGGCCCCTTCCTCAATATTGCCACAAATTTCATAAAACAAGGAGTCGTATTATTGTATTAATGAACATCACTATTTTGGTAATCATTCGATATTCGATACTCAGTGATTTCATTAACTAATATGAACTTATACCGTGCGTGACGTATTAAAGAAAAAATGCTTTTTCAAAGAATATAATTTATTTTTTTCAAAACTCAATCTAAAATCTCTAATAATCCCACTGTATATTGGTGCATTTAACTAGAATTTTCCAACACAATTAAATTAGCATCCTTTTTCTTTCCTTGTCTTCGTGTTTATAACAAAAGTACAAAAACAGTATATATATATATATATATATTATTCTCAATATTTTTTCTTCTTTCTCCCAAGAAGAAAAATAAGACTAAACTTTTTTTAAAAAATAGTTCTAATTCGAGTTGTCACATATCAATGCATTGGCATTTGATAGCAAGCAAATAGCACATAAATATTAAAGGCTAGTCCTCTTCCTCAAGATTGTGATAGATTTTCAAAAGAAATTACTTTAAAAACATACATGATCCTATAAAAGATTATATATTGTGATTGGTGATGCTTGAGGGCCTTCATGTCTTTTTTGGGTCATATATGTGCATGACTATGATATAGTATAGGAAAATCATTATGTTACTAGTTTCATATTTTCACTCTCACTCTAAATATAAAAAGGTGAAGACATTCTTTCTTTAATGAATTAAAAAAGAAATTAAGAAAGTATGACATAATTTGAGCTATAGATAATAAAAGGGAAAATTGTGCATTACAACAAATTATTAATTCAAAATAAATGTTATAGCTACAGTTTCATTTAATTCCAATTCGCAACAAACCTCTTGTCATTTGCCTCTCTCCCCTCTCTTTGGAATCTCGCTCGCCACTCTCCTCTTTTTCAGCCATCTGTCCCTCGCCTTTCTCACTTTATACAAACACAAATGTATAATTTGTGTTTGTGTTTGTGTTTGTATAAAGCGAGAGAGACTGTATATACAAATACATATCTCTCTCCATTCTATACACTTATAATTATACAAATACAAATCTTCCCCTACTCAATTCTATTTTGTCTTTCTCTCTCTCTCGCTTTATACAAACACAAACTATACAAATATAATGTATAATTTGTGTTTGTATAAATCAAGAGAGAGATTTGATATACAAATAAAAATGTTTTAACTCGATTCAATTGAATACGAATTTAAATTTTATGCAGATATACAAAGAAAATCATTGATACATAGATATAGTAGTTACATATATACAATTATCTAACTGATATACATATACAATTCACCTCTCTGCCCTCTCTCACTTGCATCCTCCTCTCTCTCCCAATCTCGTTCGCCACTCTAGCCTAACACAGAGAACATATACATGTATAAAACGCAATTGTCATAGACACAGACGCCCGATTTATACAAATCGCCGCGATTTATACAAATCAGATGCTCCATAGCAAACATAATTTGGCTATAAAGCGCAAATAACAAAACTGTATCTATAGAACGCTAATATAATTTTTATCTTTGTTGTTTCTAAAATTTACTCTAAATAAAATGGTTACTTTTGACACTTACACAATATCAATTATACTTTGAACCGTTAGATATAATCTTAGTTCATGATAAGATCACTATCATATATACCTACTATTTATAATGATAAGTACGTGAAATTTTGACCTCATACGACTCTTTAAAGAATTGAAGGATTTCACAAGTGTTCTAATAAGTTTCCTAACTTTTATGTGTGTATTGAAGATGACATCTCAGTTCTTGTAGTATTTTTGACTCATAATTTTGATAAATTATTCAAGTTGCCCAAGAGATTATCCTTGTTTGATGTTTAAGTTTTCTTATTATCCTAATTATTATACATATCTTGAAATTAATTGAAAGAAAGTGCATTTTGAAAAGTCCAATTTACCTACGTGGTGTTATTATCTATTTGCAGTAGAGTTTGATAATGATTGATAACATATGCCTTCTAATTATGGGAATCTGGTGAAGAATTTTTTTCATTCTCAAAAATTCGAACTTGAAATTTAATAAAAGAATTTCAATCATATATATAGGTAAGTTTTCAACTTTTATGAGTATTAAAGATGACATCTCAATCCTTGAATTGCTAACAAATAATCTAAGTAGAATGCTTCTTCCAGCATGAATGAACCCTTTGAAAACTATTTGAAAATAAGTGTCATGAAATTGTGAATATTTTTATATGAGAGTTGACTTAAATATAAAAACATCTACTAAAAAAATAGTTGATAAATATACTTTTTATGCATATATTAATGTATTGTATATAAAAATATATATATATATATACAAAATATATTTATGTTTTTATAGTTAACCACTAGATGTAATTATTTTTTACGATCAATTAAATATGCAACTTGCCCTATTTATTTCTGGGGTAGGTGTATCAAATGGTTTGACTCGAATTTCTTTTAGTTTAAAAAAATAAGTTAGCACTAGCACGTACAAGTTAAGTAAGATGTAGACATGGATTTTATATTTTATTACAGTAGAAAAAAAAATTATTTTGTGCAAGCTGATAATTTCCTTCAATAAATTATTGCAAGCTCATTACACAAAAAATAACTTCTAGAAAAAAAATTAAGTCGTACAGAATGACATAATTCATGTGACCTAGCGTTTGAATATAAATTTGAGAAATTAAATTTGGGTACAGTTTATATTAAAGTTTCAAAATGTCTTTGACCTTAATTTTTGTAAACATATTCTATTTAAAAAACATAATTTATTCCTGTAAATTCTAAAAACTATAAAAAAAAAAATCATAAGTTTGGCCAAAATTATTATTTTTATAATAGATAATACATAGTCCTAAATTTATAAAAACTACTAATAACACAATTACTAGCTACTGTAATTCGTCAAATTACAATTAATTACGAAGACTCATCAATGAAAAATAAATAATAAAAATGTTGGTAACTAACTATTCTTTAATATAATTTTCTTACCTGAACAATCTCTACAAAGAATTTATCATACATATCCTTAATCGCTGTAATGTAAGCCGCTAGTATACCTCTAATCTCCAAATAACTTCCCTCGAAATTTTATCATAAATCTTTTCAAAATTAATGAATACCATACGTAAATTTCCTGTCCTTTTCCAATACTTATTGAAATTCATGGAGAGAAAGTGATTTCTGAAAAATCCACTTTACCTACGTGTAATTATTATCTATTATAATGACTAATTAGTAGTTAATCGTTACGTACTGAAGTTTGATACTGATTGATGACATATGCTTTATATGGAAACAAAAAATGTATCATTTTATAACAAAGTAATAATTTGATACTCTTTCTTATTAAAAACGCAGTACCATTTATTCATAGTTGATTACTAGGTCAATTCTTGATAAAGAAAATAATAATTTGGGTATTAATTAACTTGTTAGAGAACCTAATTACTAATTAACTTAAGAAGTGCTCATAAAATACATCAGACAATTAACTTGTAGGATTGATAATAATTATGGGTCCAATCAAAATTTGTACGTTTTTTATGAAACAGACAACATCATCATCATAGATTTAATTAATGTGGTTGATCATTTTTGACATTTTATTTTAATTATTTAAATTCGACTTTTAACTAACACAATTTCTTTTGTTAATGAAAAGAAATATTATATGTATTTGTCATGATTATTGTTTTGGCTTAAGCCATTACACAAACTCATACTCCCTCCGTCCCTTTTTAGTTGTCCACTTTAGAAATGACACACAGATTAAGACAACAATGATTAGCACAGTGAAGTTACAATTTTACCCTTATGACAACCTTTCACTTCAAAATTACAACCACTTATTTGAATTCAAGTGAAATAAATTGGAGGGAAACAACATACACTTTTACAATTTTCAAGAAGTGTAAATAAGGGTATAATAGGAAAAAATTTGTTGTCCTTTCTTGATTTGTCAAAATGGACAACTAAATAGGGACAACTAAAAAAGGAAATATGGACAAGTAAATAGGGACGGAGGGAGTATTAGCCAAATTAATTACAACCAAAATAAATATGCCGAGCACAAAAGTTGCCAAGTAGAAATTAAGGGATCATTTGGAAATAAGTTATCTCGAGATTAATTATTTCAAGACAAGTTATTACATTATGAATATCTGATAACTTATTTCATCACTATGAAATAAATGATAGAATAAATAATCCAAACGACTAAGTTCTAATAGCTCAAACCAAACATATAAAAAATAATCATACAAATTATCCTAAAATTATTATACATTATATCTTATACCTCAAACGAAACGATGGTAAAGTTTGCAATATAAGTCATTATCAGACATGATCAATCCTACAATTGTGATAAAGAAGAAAACGTATATAAGAAGTGGGGTCATTAAGAGTACACAAATATGTGATCAAGTTCATTGAATGGTTTTTATTATTAAAAAAAGAACTTAAAGGAAATTAAGTAAGGCTAAAATCAAACGTGCTAATTTTTCTACATATAATCTTTCTATATATTTTGGATTTACGTGAACTAACGGATCAGTCGAAGTAAAGATGCTTTTTTCAACATGAACAAACCCTTGAAAAAATATTTAAGAAAGAATGAGTGCCATGAATTGAAATTGTTAATTTTGTTATAAAAAAATGGACATAAAATATATAGTCATTGATTAAAATAATAGTCAGTTAATATATATTTTTGTATATCAATTGTATAACACATATTAAACTTATTTTTCAAAATATTTGTTTAACTATCGAATATAATTATTTTAACGATCGATCTAATGTGTAACCTGCTCTGTTTCTATATGGGTAGGTGTAGCAAATGGTTTTGCCTTGTGTTTCCCTTTAGTTTCAGATAAGTTAGCACTAGCACTTACAAGTTAAGTAGGATGTAGACATGGAGTTTTATATTTAATTACAGAAGAGAAAAATTATTATTTTGTGCAAATTGATAATTTTCTACAATGAACTATTGAAAGCTCATTAATTACACAAAAAAGATACATAATCCATTTGTGACCTAGTATTACACATGATGGGTTGACATTTTGACAACTAAAACAGTATGCAAAGGAATATTTTTTTTTAATGTTTCTTTGTGCCCTAAAATGAAATTACTTTGTATAAAAATAGAACAATTAAATAGTTGTTCTGACCACTTTTATTTATCTAGTTAAGAAAACTAAAGTACTACAATTTATTATTATTAATTATTTAGTATAATTTTATATTATAAAATTAATATTCTAATTATTTCTGATAAAAAAATGGGTCGAACAAGTAAAAATGAACGGAGAAGTACAGATTATTAGTCATGCGTCGGTGTTCCCCACTTGCTATACCAGTCTACCACTTACCAATCAACTTTGACATTGCATTTATTGCTTTCATGTATCTGATAAGTTGTAAATATAATAATGTTTTAAAATATAACATATTTTCTATATAAAAATAAAATAAAACACATTTTTTAATTAATTAAATATTTAGTGTGGTAAATCATATAGTTATCTGTTTTAATCTTTTTAGATTCGTTTTCTTCTAAAAAAAAAATAAAAAATGTACACATACGATCCCTACATATTTTCCCAATTAAAATGGTTAACGAAATAAATAGACCGGTTAGATATTGCATGCTCATCATATTTCTGTACCATCAAAATAGCGAAGGTGTGGTAAAATGGAAAGTATTTCTCTATTTTTAATTGAAGATCTCTTATGTGAATTTTGGGTATAAAATCATTATAGTAGCTAGGGTATATATCTTACACCCCCACCCCCCCCTCAATGTCGTATTTTTTGGGATGATCAATTCAAAGTTAGTTGAGTCCATCCAAATATTGGATACCAGGCGAAAAATCAAACAAAGAAAACT